AGATGCTGGCTCGCTAGCTTGGAGGTCGCGGGTTCACTCCCAATGTTGGCCGAGGAAGTTCATAGGGATTTTCCGGAGTGGTTTCCCCTTGTAAGCTTAGTGGTGCAGGATGGAGGGCCTGATAAGTACAGCTACCTAGTCGTTTGGATGGAACAATAAAACAAAGTCCTGTAATTCAATCAAAGAGTAGGTTGTAGCGCCTCTGTCTGGGCAAAAGTTCCCTCATAGCACACTGTATGACGTATGCACGTCTTTATTAGACCATAATCTTTGAGTGGCATATAGCGATCAGGAAACACATTAACAGATCACATTTTTTATGGGAAACAATCACTACGTTTATTTTAATAACAAGACTTTCAACAAGTATCCTCTTGTTGTTATCAAACACAATGACATTTAGTAAACTTAAGGTACAATTCATAGTGATACCAGTATTTTCCCTTTACATTATCTATTTTTTAACTATTATAGCGAGAACTGTCAACTCTTTATCTAATCTTCCATAATACCACTTTAACTTAGAATGAAATCTATACAAGATACTCAACTAACCTAGTACAACAATATGTCTGTCATTAAGTCAAATGGCATGGTCGGATCACAGGCATGTACATAAGGTAGGGTCACCTGTCTAATCAAGGGCGGCTTGGATGGCCGAATGGTTAGCATGTGCGCGCTGTATCATAAGGTCTGTTATTGAGTCAACTGGCGGGATTTCAATTCCCCGGTTGGACATGACAAGAAGTAAAGTCACCTATCCAACCTCGTGGTTTCTCCAGGTCCTCCGGTTTCCTCCCACTGCTAAAGACCCCTAGGCGCAAGCGAATTATTGAAATAAAATTAATTGAACCATGTGTTAGTCCCGAAATGACCTAGTTTGTGTGGACTGGACGTTAAACCCATCTCTCTCTCTCTCTCTCTCTCTCTCTCTCCTGTCTAACCTTGTGGGTTTTCTGTGTATCCTCGCTCACAGCTAAAGACCCCTACACACAGGCGAATCATCGAAATAAAAGCTGCCGTATGTTAGTATGTGTCAAGTGGACTTAAACCCTCTCTTTCTCTGAAATAACTTGAATTCTTAGCTTGATAATGTTGAGAGAATACTCTTCGAAATGTCGCACAAATAAGGTTTTCCCTATTGCTATATTCAGTTACTTAATGTCTCTAAAAGATTATTTAAATTTTTTAGTTTGAAAATAAATTCAGAAGGCTTATAGTGTCAGATTATATACTCTTAAAAAAAAGTAGGGGATATTGAAATACAAATACCTATGCAGGTTGTGATATGATAAATAGTCATGGACACTTGACATGCTTTCAGAGTATGTTCACAGATGAAGAACTTATCGCCCCAACAGAACCACTGAGCTGCACATGTGACACGCAATAGCACCATACGCATGGGAGAGGTTCATTGTCAAATTTGACACTTCAAGGAAGGGTTGATGAAAACTGCCGCATGCTGGTTTATCTATCCATGTTTGCTTTCCTATCGGTTCTTGCATAAGATTTGCTGTTTACCCTCAACGGACAACACTGCAAGAATTGGCCGTGGCACTGCAAGATCAGTGGGTCAGATTGTCCCAAATCTTGATTGGACGGTTGATTAGGAGCATGCCACGACGAATTGCTGAATGTCTGAGGATTGGTGGAGCAATTACACATTATTAAGACAAAAATCAAAAACGTCCATTTTCACTTTTGACTGTGTATCTCTTTGCGAGTGAAATGGGGCCGTCAGATAAACCGCCCATATGAACTGTTTATGTTCATGTGTATAGGCAATTGGCCTGTTATTAACATACACTGGTTACCTCTAATAAAAACAGCAGTGCATTTCCACAGTTTTGTATTGTTTCTGAATATCCCCTACTTTTTTTTGAAGAGTATATTATCAATATGATTGATATTATTAACAGCATCGGTTGCATGCAATATTCTTAGATCTAATATTCATGGTCTGCCATCTGCTCTCACACCTATTTTCTGGTTGGCTACAACTCTTTAACGATTCTTCATCATGGTCACCATCCTATAAAATATACCTTGAGGCTCATTTACCTATTAGTTAATTAATTTCAAGAACATGTGTTAATTGTACATTTTGATCAATATAATCTTAGAGTCTGTAAATATTATTATTAGTTCATGGAGTGCATGATCTAAATTCCCTGGAAAAACACCTAAAAATATTTTTGGGTATTTATACATATTTTAGTTTTGTCTGATATTTTTTTATACCCATATTCAATATTTTCGCAGAGTTTGAATCAGTTCTTAGATGTCTTTTAATCACAGTCTTCTTGGTCACATTCAAAACATTACAAAGATTAGCCAGATTCATAATTAATTAGGGGAATACGTAAATAGTGTTGTGTTAATAATATTTATGTTTATATCTTAAACAGACTTGGAAATGAAATTAAAGATTTCAGTTAAACTAACAAAATGTCAGACAGTACTAATCTAGTACCCAATAACTCGAATTTTTTCCAAAATATGTATCAAGGATCGAAAACACTAAAAAATGAATCTTGCAAACTGATATTTCGAATGTTGTGCCAGATATATATTAAAGGTAAAAATAATTAACATTGAAAAAAGAAAAAAATGAAATGAAATGGGGTTTTATGTCCTACTGTTCAGCTCCGACTGGGCTAATGAAGACGGGCATACACCATACAGTGTGCTATGAGGGAAATTTTGCCCGGACAGTGGCAGTTTGGTCTACTCTTATGTCGAATTCCAACTGTCAAGGAATCTTTAACGTGCACACCAATGTATACACGGGACCTCAGGTTTTCGTCGAATCCGAATGACTAGATGACTGTCCTGTCAGGCCCCCCATCCTGCACCACTGACAAGGGGGAACCATGTCGGAGAATCCCGATGAACTTTCACGGCCAATGCTTGGATTGAACATGCGACCTCCGGGCTTACCCACTAAGCCACCGTGGCTGCCCATTGAAAAAAGACAGAAGAGTGCTGACAAAATGATAGTCATCAGAGGGATTATGTTTGACAAAGCCTGAATTTAAATTTGTGCCTGACACTACCTGTGACAGGTTTCGTATTTACAGTCTTCATCTTAAATTTGTTAATCTGAGGGGTAACCTTCCCGAGACTTCTTACAAATAACAAGTGCTATTTTAAGTATTTATGTGGTCTTAGCGAAAGAAAACAATGCTGTGGTTACCATTCCTATGTTATCATATGAATTTTTTTGAACCGATTCAACAGTGCAACCGAACCGTGATCAGTTAACCGAGTGACCATTTACATCCTTAGACACAATCTGTCTCAAAGTGTCTTTCGATATATCCAGCTCTTATTTGTCTTATTAATGTGTTTTGATTGATATTTTTGATAGATGTCCCCACACAAAGTCAAGAATATCAGGTATTATTTCATTAGTGCCAGACATTAGGTGTAGCTAAAATTATTATTTTCATACCTGTGTGTTTATTGCTCTGGATTCAGCTAATACCAAAAAAAAAACCAAATTGTTGGTGCACATAAAAGGTTACTTGGAAATAGAAAAAGCAAAAATTCACTGTCAAGGCAAAATTCTCCCCATTACAATATGTTAGTAAAATGTTGATCAGGTATAGGGGTCCCATTCCATCCATTCAACTTGACTATAGATTTATTGAAATCAAATGCGGTTTAACATCCTATTGTTCTACACCAAGTGGGCTAATGAAGGCGGGCATACCCCATACAGTGTACTATAAAGGAAATTTTGCCTGGACAGTGGCACTATAGTCTACTCTTATTTTAAATTCCATCTGTCAAGGGTTATTTTACGTGCACGCCAATGTGCACACAGGGCCTTATTTACCGAGTTACCATGAAATTATATTGACTTGAGTATACATTTAATGAAATGGCACATTGGGGGCACAAAGGTAATATATATTTGTCTTTGGGCTTCCTAAGCTCTGAACTTTATTCATACAATGTTCCATAAAATTATATTTCAGTATTTGAGTACACCTGTAATGAAATAAATGGCACATTGGGGACAAAAGATAATATATATTTATAGCTAAGCTCTGATCTTTATTCGTACAATGTTCCATGAAATTATATTTCAGTATTTGAGTACACATGTAATGAAATGGCACATTGGGGACACAAAGATGTTCCATGAATTTATATTGAAGTATTTGAGTATAATGACACAACACATGGTGACACAAAAATACTAATACAGCTTTTGACTTCGTAATTTAAAGGCTCAATACCCCTCTTGTTGTGACTGAATAATATGTCCCAATCTTTATTCTGGTCAACAAATTGTACTATTTTAGAATATTTCAATTAATTGATGATACAAATTTCATCTTAACACACCTTATGTAAAAATTTTGAAAAATTCAACATAATGGTTTGAAACGTCTAACGTAAACCTTTTCAAATGAAACTTCGATTTAAAAATATTTTTGAACCCTCTGGACAAGTAAAATAGGATGTAATGGATAATTTACACAACAGGTAGGACACTTAAACATCTAGTACTTAGATAGAGATATTATTTATTTTCTGGAGCTTTCAAGCCAGCAAGAGTGTTATTGTCCCTTTAAGCCCTGAACTGTACTCAAACAATGTTTGGTTACCAGTAAATTAAATAGCAGTATTTGAGTATGATAAAATGACACCTTTTATAAGCTCTGAAGTTAATTCCAACAATGTTCCATGAAATTGCAGTATTTGATAAAATGAAATAGCACATGGTGACAGTATTAAGTACAGAGATTTGTATAGTAAAAAAAGCAATATATTTACCTTGAGATTTCCTAAGCTCTGAACTTTTTATTCCAACAATTTCTATGAAATTATAATGAATTGACACAATGGTGTCACAAAAATAATAACATATTTACCTTTTGGCTGGCTAATGTCTGAATTGTATTCGTACAATGTTCCATGAAATTAGATTGCCATATTTGAATATAATGAAACAACACGTGGTGACACTATAAAATTTGATTTACCTGTTTCTGGTTCCGATCAGATTGTTTTAATGACAATAGGTAGATTGTTGATACAGTCTCGAGTAATTATTTACGTGTTGACAATCAGGTCTAAAAAATCTATAAAGCACGACATCTCATCCTGTTACTCACGGAAATCCACTGCCTGCTCGTCCTCAAACCTGTTATCATCATTTGATAGTTAATTTACTGTATTTCACCAACCAATCAATCGGTTCGACAGGTAGCATTCAGGGAAAAAGTGACAATGCTAAATGTTATGAAACGTCTAGGTGTGAAATATTCTCACCTGACTTATATTGTGAAGATTTGTGTTGATTAATTCAATTGATTAATTGATGGGCGGGTTTGACCGACAAGTTTTGTCTGTGTCAACTTATGTAAGAACTGCATTAATGGTACAGGTAATTTGATAGCAGAGATGACACCTTTTCTGATTAAACAATTTAGGGTGTGTTTCATGTGTAGATATATTGATATTTAAAACCAAATGAGCTAATGGGGATAGGGAATTTTGCCAAGACGGTGGCATTTATGTCTAATTTTTTTTATCTAATTTCAAGTGTCAAGGATTCTTTTATATGCACAAATATATCACAAGATCTCAGTTTTTTTGCCTTATCCAAATGACTAGATGGTGTTACGTGCCAGCCCCTCCATCCTGCACCGCTGAAAAATCCTTAGGAATTTTTTCCATCAACTAGCTGACATGAAGAAGTTTACAAAGAGTTATCCAGCTATATCTAATTAATCCTGTCTTAATCCCCACTAATATGTACTTCAATTGATTATTTAACATTTAATTAAGAAAAAATATCAACGGCATATATAATTATAGATAATCTCCTGGCTTGAATTTAATCAGATTTCAAAAAAGCTCATCAAAAGATTTTAGCAAAGATTATAGGTAGCTAGGAGACACTTTTATTAGTAATTATAAAAGGATTTACATTTCTTCATGAGTCTTATCGTCCAGCTTGGTCATGCAATCTTATACTGTTTTTATGTGATCGACTGACACTCAGATAACCCAAACTATTTGTTAATTTCTACTTCTTTACATAGATCGTATTTTTATAACTGGTAGAAAAGCTTACTCTATGAACCTAACATTGGTAAACATAGGCTTAACACAGATATCCTTTCTGATCAGTATGTTTTTATTGTGCTTTTTTCAATTAGGAATAATGAAAAAAATTATTGATTATTCACTAATACACGTTAGTTCATTTCAGTTTAAGACTGCTACGGATATATTGGATGAAATTAATGTGTTTTCTGTGTTCGAGGGACAAAGGGCTATTTTTTTAAAACGTGATTAAATGCGTTGCAAACCAAATAACACTTTGTAAACTCGAACATGTTTGAGCATTGTAACTTCACATAGAGAAGGATTCCAGGTATGAGACAGTGTCTCCTTACCTTTTCCCAACAGACAGATGGTTTCTAGTCATCTGAATATTGACAATTTTAAAGATGCATTATGTAAGAGCTAAATCTGCCTTTTACAGGCCTTTATGTTGACTTCAAATGTTATATAAACTATTATTTAGACATTTATTCACGTATATTGCCGTCGCCCCCGTCCTTCTGTCTGTCCGTCCATCGTCCACAATTTCTTGTGAGCGCTCTAACGCCAAAAGTTATCATCCAATAGTTTTAAAATTGATATATGTTGTTTACATTAGTGAGATGAAGAAGCCTATTTAATTTCAATAATTTCCGTTTATAATGTGTAGAGTTATGGCCCTTATTTCACTTTGTTGAACCTTGTGAACGCTCTAAAATCAAAAGTTATCTGCCGAGAAGAATCCTATTGAATTTCAGCAATTTCTGTTTATTACTTCTAGAGTTATTGCCCTTGTTTCACTTTGTTCAACCTTGTTAATGCTAGAATAATGAAAGTTATCATCTGATATGTATGAAATTTATATGAATCATTTAAATTTGTGAAATGAAAAAGCCTGTCAAATTTTAACAATTTATGTAGATTACTTCCAGAGTTGAGACCCTTGTTTCAATTTGTAGAATCTTGTGAACCTTCAAAAGGCAAAAATTATAATCTGATCTGTATGGAACTGTCTTATAAAGGCCCCCAATTACCTACAAAGGAATAAATATGCGACAACCCTTGTCGACCTCTCGGACGATTTAGCTGCTGTGGGTGTATGTTTTGTTGCCTGGCAACCTATCTTTAAAACTATTAAAGCAAGAACTGTCAGCTCTAATTACATAATGCATCTTTAAATGATCATTTCGCAAACAAACTGTATATAGACCAGCTAAAAGTTGCATGCCATAACAAGTTTGTCACCTTAAGTAGTATGGTGAGCATCCATTACCCATCAAAGTCCTCGTCTGAACTGGAATCCTCGAATGGGTCGTCACTGAGTTGATCCTCACCTGGCAGTACAAGACTGGAGTGTGACTCGAGAACACACTCGTAGCCTGTAGTTCACATGTGGTTTGAAAATTTAAAAGGGAGACCACTCTAAAATATATTTTAAATTTAAGCCCATGGGCTTAAATTCGAAATAAAAACTCATTATTTAGCCCATGGGCTTAATAACGGCAGGGCTTAAATACGAGGATTCCTGGTATTTTTTATTGATGTATTTGATACATTCGGATCAAACAACAAAATTTTAATAAAGGGCTATATTTTAGTTAAAATAAGACGATTTTGAGTAAATTCTTAGCTGGGCTTTTCTAAGCTTCATCAATACAAAAGAGGAAATTTTTTGACAGACAGTGGAGTTTCTGCCTGTTCTTCGATTCAAACTGCCAAGGATTCTTTTACATGCACCCAATGTTTACATAGGAATTTTTTGTCCTATTTTAACCACTAGAATACTAGACGCTTTTCCATGTCAGGTCCTCCATCCTGCATTAAACATTTGCCATTCAGGTAAATTCTCACTGTGGCTCCATAATCCTCTGTAGTCTTGAATATAAAACGAAAAATGACGCGCAAAATATATTTATTGTGGTTACTTATAATTGATGTGTCTATTATTTATGGTATAGAATATAAACAATGAATTCAGACAGTTGTGGGGGTAGATTAAATAATATGTAAAAGCATCACATTCATTTTTAACATAAACTTTTTTTATTTCTATCTTCATTCCATTTAATAAAAAAAAATTAATCAGATAACATTATTAAACTTTCATTGTTGTCATCAATCATCAAATCCCAAATGGAAAATCAATTCTCTGGAATCTCTTTGGTTTATTTGTTGCAGGAATTGTTTGCCAACTTTTAAAATATTTTGTTCAGCAGTGTATCTTATGTCATCGTTGCCAGTTTATATCAGTATTAAATCAAAAACAATATATACAATTCTTTTGGACAACTACAAGTTGTGGATTGAATAAGTTTCAAAAATATGACAATTATTTTAATAAAACCTTGTTTTATTTGTAGCTTCAATCATTCTTTCCTTAGTATAAAAGCATTAATCGCATATTAAATGCAGCGGTTTCATCAATCTTTGAGTCCCTAAAGCATAATTAATTCTATGTGCATGTAATCATAGCTCTTTGGTTCAATAGGAATTAATTTTTAGTATACTTTTGTGTTATATTATTGTTTAACCAATTATTGTTCAGTCATTTGGATGGGATGAAAAACAGAGTCCTATGTACAGATTTGTGTCAACATGCAAGAATCTTTATGTTGGAATTCGAAAAAAGAGTAGTTGTAGGGCAAAATTTCCTGCATAGCACACTGCATGGCATAAGCCTGTCTTCATAAGCCTGTGTAACACTATACAGCACTATGCATCACTGGTTAGATGTGGAGAGACGGGTAAACTCCCCATAGCCGACGTGTGATGCATACTCTATTCTGCTACATATTTTAATAGCCTTGAATAACCCTAATCCTAACCGTAGTATTGTCTCTGGTTATATTTATTTCTTTTTATCTTCTTAGGATTCACGTTGTGTATATATTTTTATCTCAGCCTTTAAGACGTTTATCTACCAAGAATAACAACGCATCAGTTCGTTTATACATTTTATATCAAGCATTGGATACATAGGTTACAAGCACAGGTTACATTACAATACTTAAAATTAACATCTCTTTCTCTCAACCCCAACTCCTGTAAAAGTCTAATTAGTGTGGCTCGACTCAGGAAACCGCTACATCATATGGTCATCTAAGAACCCTGGCGATGTCAAACACTGAAGAATCTTCATGATGTCTGTCAATTGGCCAGAGCTCTGATGGTTTTTGGCTTTCAACTTTCTAATTGGTCAAATATGACATAATTAATTATAATTATTGGTTACTAAGCCAAATGATGCAATAATAATATTCCTACCATAAGTGATCTGGTGATATTTTGTTTTCACACAGAACCAGCTATGTTTTGGTTTTATAAATCTTTTTATGTGTCAATCCATGACTTATTCAATTTAAGTGTGTGAGATATGACTTCTCTATAATTTGAAACCAATAATTAGTCAAAGCCATAGTTAATTAATATAATGCTATTAATTTAAAGAGCAAACATTCTACCAATCTTATTACACCTAGTAGGTATAGAAAAGTAGAACGCTAAATCCTATTTCATTATATTATTGTTTCTACTGGAAGGCACATTTATCAATATTAGGAAAAAAGAATTAGAAATATATGAACAATAATTTGATTATAAAGATCAGGATATGAATCGAGCATTTAATTTGGAAAAATTGATCTACTTTTGTTTTAGTTTTTCGTGCCCTGAAGATATGTGGTATCTTTTAATCAAATTCAATGGTGTATTGTTTCCATCACGCAATGTGTTTATTATGCTGGCCTGCAGCATTAATTTTAAACAATATCAAAGCATAATATTCTAACAGTTGATGATATGATAATGTGTAAAACTGATGCATTAGAGCCCATTAGATTCTGATAAAATCATACTTAAATGATTTCTGATCATCATGATTATTTATGCAGAGACGTATGTGTATGTCACAAGGAGTACGGTCACCTGTCCAACCTCATGGGTTTTCTCGAGGTTCTCCAGTTTTCTCCCACTGTTAAAGACCTCTACGTGCAAGTGAATTATTGAAATAAAATTGAATCATATGTTAGTCCCGAAATGACATAGTTTTTGTGGAATGGACGTTAAACCCCATTTCTCTCTCTTTGAATGATGTTATTCAAATATTAGATGACATGCACAGATGATCAATTTATGGACTTCTAGAAATTAAA